GGAAAACACAAGCGGCGATTCGTGCACGAACGATTGCTTGCTGCTGCGTACGTTATTACTGTATCCAGCGGCGCGTGCTGCTTTCGACACACGCGGTCCACTGTCTTGGATACGTTTTCGATCGAGTTGTATCTTTTCTTCATGGCGAGACGCTTGGAGAGTTGATGGACTAGTCGACAGTTTCAACCACGGTTGAAACAATGAACTAATCATAGAGCCTTGACGCTTCGATTGGCAAGCGGCGTGGAGCGAGGAGCGAGCGGTATTCTTGATGATACCACGAATGAGTGCGCAGACAGGAGACGAAGTATTAATACATGCTCCTAACGTTAGTATACTACTAGTACATGGGAAACATGCAGCTTCGTGCACTTGTCCAATGCGTCGTTGCGTCGTAAGGGAGGTTATATTCTAGTCTTTTGGCGGATAATCCGCCAGCCGTCCTGGGAGGGTTAACACTAGAATTCTTTTCTTGGTGGTGCAAAGTCCAACCAAGTCGAGTTACTGTGTATTGACATTGTGAGCATTTGCGCTCGACCCAATGCATTGCGCCAACTCAAAGATGGTTAGACCTCTCGTACAAATTGTTCCACCACGAGTGTAGTCAGCTATCTTTGACAAATCGCCACCAGAAGTCATGCCTAACAAACTAGCAGCTCGGCTGGTGAAGCACTCGGCAGAGAGATAGCGGAATTTTTCACAATAACACCGTGATGCCAAGCGTTTCAAACGGCTCTTGATAAATCGATACTCAAATGTTGGAACATTCGAGAATCTCCGGCGCAGACACTTCAGTGACACAAGAAGCACCGAGGCGGCGTCCCATTGGCAAAACCATCCCGTGCACATCGCCCCGATCCGCATGACGAGTTGGTAGCCACGTCGATACCTCGTAGAACAAGGTATCAGCAATAGCCTTGGTATCAGGCACCCTCGCTTCTCACTCGTGATTTAATGTACTGATCTAGCTCGTAGCTACTAGTACTACTCGTGTACTTTGGTGATCCGCGCAGCTATTAATACTTGCGATTCCGACGCGGCCCAAATTATCCGGTATTCCGGATAAAGTCGCAACAGAGATGCTGTTGACACACGTGGGTGTCACACAGCTGGGCGGACAGTATTGAGTCCCACACGTGGAGCCTCGGACGGCAATCAACGTCAGTTTATCATTGCCATGTACCTCGTCACGTGGCCTCTTCGTGTATACCTCGCGTGGAGCGCTCTCAGCGCCGTCTACTTTGCCGGCGTCCTGATTGTCCCCTTTGCGACGTGGATGCGGCCGGTCGTTCCGCACGCCGACGTCTATACGAGCTGCGCGCTCGGCGGTCTCTGCGTCGTCATCGCTGGCCTCGTCCGCGTCCGAATGGCAAACAAACTGGCGTCGCTCGCGCCGCTGCTTGTCGTGCTGTTTACTGTGTTTGTCCTTTTTGGTGCCATCTTTATCCTTGCCTTCTCGGAATATTACGCGGTCTTATCCGTGCCATACGAACGCGCCCAGCTTGAAAAGATCGAAGCTGGCGTCGTCGGCGAGTTCTACTACGACCGCGGGTACCTCACCGACACCAACTCGGACTGCTCGATGGTAACCTGGCGCGAACGGGAGCGGCTCTCGGCCTTTGAAGACGCGCACTGCGCCAAGCAGGGCAAGGCGTACTGCAACGCCTTTTCCCTGCGCAAGACGCTTTTCCAGCCTCTGATTTTCGACAACAAGACCGAGCACGAGCGCATCGCGGCGCTGCTCCAGACATCATCGTTCTTTGGCGTCACGATTGACGATCACACGACACTCTCCCAGTTTTGCGCGTCGGTTGCCCCGAGCGTGCTGACGAGCGAGCCATCGCTCGACGTGGCGTGTGACGGGTGCCGCGCCCTCGTCGCCGCGCCCGAGGATACCTCGAGCCTTGGGAACTGGGTTTACGAGCACTGCCCGTTGACGACCGTCGATCCGATGGCGAGCTACTGCATCATGAGCGCCAGCGCCAAGCTGTACCCGTACCTTCTGACCTACCCCGAGGCCAAGCGCTGCCGCCGCTCGATTCTCCGCCTCAACCTGGTCAACCGCGTGCTCATTTGCTTTGGCGAAAAGTTTGATGCGGCGCTTCAGTCCTACACGGATGCGATGGCGTACGTCGCGGTCGTCCTCGCCGGACTCGCCTTTGTGCTCTTTTTCTGGGTCTCGGTTGCGCAAATGAAGCGCGACGCTATCGATGCTGACGACGAGCTCATGCTGGAGGCCATGCTAAATGCGCGGGCGTCTCAGCAATAACGTCATTTAGCCGTTATAAATCAGAAATTAAATGTTTGAATACTTTTTCAATATCTTTGGCCAGGGAATAGCGCTTGTAGCTGCGTGCACGGGTGGCGAGGCTCGGCGAAGGGTAAGCTCCAGAGCACGTAGCACATTACCGTTCAGCGACGAGGAGGCTCAAGCAAGCGTCGTTGCCATCAAGTTATTAATAGCTGCTTTCCCTTTTGCCATAATTGTCATTGATACACAGTTGGAGGAGATAATATACGGGGTCAGCTTGTAGCCCAAACTTTCGGGCACCGACGCCGTGGTTGCAGCAGGTCGGTAGCGCTGAAAAGCGTTTGTCAGGGTTATCCACGAGACTCGCGTACGTTCCATCCTGCTTGCAAGAGTGTTGAATGTAGTGTACTGCTCTATTTTTCTTTACCAAATACAAGCAGTATTGAATCTATACACGTCGTCTTGTGTCGCCAAAAGGCTCTGCATCGAGCGTCAAGTGCGCTTACAACAAGCGGCGGCCGCGATCGCAATTGTTGGGAAGAGGCCACGTCACGGGCTCCACGTTTTTCTTGAGCGCATCTGGGACTGGAATCGGGCCAAGGTCGTCGTTGAGCTTGGATTCAATGAAGTTGACCGACACCAAGTACTCGTCAAGCTTGCCGAGACCTTCCTTGTTGGGAAAGTACCACGCGATAATCTTGTCGGCGCCGTTGGAGTCCGTCGTGAGCACCACCTTCCAGAAGAAGCTCGGCGTCTTGATGCCCCAGCCCGCGACGAACTGCGTCTCCGAGTCAGCATCGTAGATGACGCCGCCATACGTCGTGACGGGACGGATGTCACGATAGCACTCTTGGACCATCTCGGTTTTAGCCCAAATGCCCTGGTTGAACGTCGACACTTGCGGCACAATGTTGTTCATGTAGTGCGACTCGCGGGCGATGGCGGGGTTCGTATCCATATGGTTGGAAGCAACCAAGTGACCGCGATCGTAGCCGTTCGAGTATGCCTTGACCGACTTTTGCTGCAAGCAGCCTTCCGGCATGTTGGGGTCGTAATAGAACGACGACGGGCGCTTCTCATTGCCAACGTCTTCGCCCATGGCATAGAACCAACGCAGCGCTGTGCGCTCCTTGCAGTCGTACGTTAGCTCGAAGGCAGTGTACTTGAGCGTGCGAATATCGCGGCCGTCGGGCATTGTGCTGTTCGTCGACGGTGCCGGCGTCGTTGGCTCGGGTATGGCCGTCGTCGGCT